AAAAGAGGTCAACTGTGAGAAGCCTCATTGGCAGAATGGGCTACAGGTCACTAGATAATTCAGCAGTGGTCACAGGTCACAGGTCACCAGCAACATGCACCAGGAAGATATGCAACCATTGGATGGGTTACAGGTCACCAGCAAGATAGGTCACCATTAGGTTGGGTCACAGGTCACGAGGAGGCTGAATTACAGGTTTATGTGCAATGAATTAATGTTAGGCTGTGTGCATGTACCAGGAAAAGATTGGCTATAATAAAAAAGACTGACAACATATGATTTTGAAAGTATACAAAGTGAATTAAGTATGCAAAATAATATACATTGAGATAAAAAACTATACTCTGATTTTGGAGAACTGAATCATCTTTGACCACAATGTTGTATTTTTCAGCACGGTGGCTATGAGACTGCTAATAGAACAACAAAGACCGCACTGACGACTTTCAGCTCATCAGATACTTCAGATTACGGCCGTGGATCACCAGCTGGTTTGGCACTTAGTCGTAAGAGTAGTCAATCTTGTAAGTTCTATTATTATGTTATATACAAACCAATTATTCAAACAAAAATATTAATTATATGTATATAAATTACATTATTTTGTTTTATTTCAGCAGCTGAAACATTAATAAAAGATGATGATAGCGTGATCAGTACGTCAAAAGTGAAGCTAAAGGACAAGCACATGGATGTAAGTCACATTCCATCACTGTAGAAGAAACTTTGACTTGTGGTTTTTGCTACTTTGTATGTCATCCTAACCACCATGTGTCAGTTTGTCATATTCAAGTGTTCAACCTTGGAGGAGAATCCAATACCCCTCAACACCAGTGGAGCCGATTATGCAACAGATTAACTCTTGAGTGCCATAATATTTACCGCCAAATTGTTGGTCTCCCCATTTGGAAAAAGTCACAGAATTAGGATTCACCAGTGTATGTGTGCATGCTTGATTCCAAATCGTTTGCATGGAAACATAACTTACTTTTATACATACATGTACATCCAATTCAAGATGGCTGAATAGAGGTCATTTTAAAGTAAAAATGTATAAAATTCAAGCATGTCTATCTGCCATTCCGTAACCAAATATCAGTTGTGCATAGATAGATTTACTAATATGTGGGATTAATGCACATCATCTTAATTTTCATATCACATTCAAAATGGCCGGCCGATTGGCAGCCATCTTGTTTTAATGGAAGGTTGTCCCAGAACCATATCCCTGATTTGCCTTGACTGATTGCAGTTATACACATACATTGTACATAATGTCACACATGCATTCATTTGAATGTCTGACTCGTATTACACTGTTTTGTGAAACTAGATTTCAGGCTTCCATGGGCTGATTTGGTTCAAATATGGTACATATAACGGTACTTTAAGACTTGCCAGATCTACACTTGAATTACTGCATTCAGCTCTTGTTAATATGTACACATGGGACATGTATGTACTCCTACATGTATAAGATCTTTAAAAAAAAGAGCAGAGACTGTATCATGACATGCAACTCTTGATGAGGAAATTATGTAGATTTCTGTTGTGAAGGATGAAAAGTTGCATCTTACTGATCTCTTTATTGAAATACAGTGAACCATTGCTGAATTGCAGGTGTCAGATCCAAGCAAAAAAAATAACTTATCAAGTGTGGCACAATTCTTTGATAATTAAATACAAGATGCAATGAATTGTTCAGACTAGAATTTTTTTGGAGCCATTCAATTACCCCAGACTTAGCTGATAATGAGGCATCACTGTATTTACACAGTGGTGGGTGGGGTCACACCTAAACATATGTACTTGAAGTCTCGACTCAAATTCAGTAACTGGTATGTATATACAAGTACATGCAAACTGTTTTTATTAGAAGAACCAAGTGTCCACACTTTTATGACGGACTTTTAACCACCTCTGTTTTGTTTTCAGACTGCTTCCTATAAAGCTCCGTCTTCACCTCTGCCTGGAACTGTTGAGGAAGATGACGATGTAAGTGCTAACACTAGAGGGCGCTGTATATGTACTGCCAAATTTTTGCAAGACAATGAACATTTTACTCGAACCCTGCAAATAAATCATGAAATTGTTAACAGTAATTGAAACAAAATTTCATTTTCCTCTCAAACTTGGTATAAAATCTGTTTAAATTTCTATCTACCACGTACAAAGATGGAATCCGTCTGACTTTGCATCTACTTCGTAAGACAAAGCACCATAGTATTCATGGCACATACAATGTATTTCACATGGTACCAATATTGAAAATAGACGTGTTGCTTTATCTCTAACAGGATTGCTTTTATATGTTTTTGTTTCATTTCAGGTTGAGATTGTACATTGTTGAATTCACATCATTGATATGTATCGTCTACAGCAAAGAAGAACGTTCATATTGCGATATATCAGATGTTCGTTTCCTAGTTGCACCAAAATGCATTCCATTGAAAACAATGTGTTGCCAAACTAGACAGACTTATCAGATTACTGCATATTTTAAACAAAAATAGCAACCTCATTTGTTTGAATTTTGTCTAGATCCAATTCACAGCTGTTATAAATTTAGGAGGATAAATAATATATGTTTACTGTTTCCGGCTTACACAAGGTTCAGTTTAACTGTACCTATCTTTGAACATATTATATTTCTATGTATTCTTTTCACAGAGTGGTAGGACTCAATTAGTCCAAATTATTAATTATGTTCAGAGAAATTATTGCAGACTGTGAAATATTTGTGCATGTGCAGAGCATTTGTATCAGTAGCGGTTTCAGACCCTTGTTTTTAATTTACCCTTGGTATCAGTCATTGTAAGAATTGAAATTTTTTGAATCATTTTACAATTACCAATTCCTGTTTTATCCTAAATATATTTAATTATTACTACTTATGAGCTAAATATTTGTTAATTATTAACTCAAGATATTTACATACACTTCACACTGACATAAGGCTGACAGTCAGGTGACTAATCACATGACCAACTCATCTGCTCTTGAAAGACATCCAGATTATTCCAAACATTTTTTGAAAGTAAATTATAATTCTATTAAATACTAAAAGTTGTTGGTGGAAAAATGCCTGTCAATAAGATTAAAATTCTCCACATGCATTTTAAGAAAGTTTATTCACACTTGTTTGTGATTTTGGGTATAAAATTGATGAAAATAAACACATTTGATATTAAAAGTTGAGTCAGTTTTGTTGCGATTGCTGTCAGCCTCAACACAAAGTGCACTACAGTACATGTAATGTTATTATTGTAACATTTTAGTGAAACTTTGTCGTTAATGTTTTGAAATTTTAATATGTACAGCATTTTTAGGTTATTTTCACAACTAAATTGGTTCAAAAACCGTATGTAAATAGAATTGTATCAATAAATCTTCTCACACATGTCTGCCTAAATCTGAATTTTCCGTCCATATCTTTGATTCGTCACAAATCTACTTTATATTGTGCACCTAGAGGATGCCATGTTGAGGCTATGCTTCATTTGCATATTCATAAATAACATCTCGCATGAGATTTTAATTTGCATGCCACACTATAAAAGTAGCTTTCAATTTTGTCATCCAGTAAAGAACCTTCTGTTTTAGTATCGCTATGGATACCGTCCATTTTACCTGATTAACAGAAGCAGAGTTGTCTTTCTTCAAATGATAATCTGTTGATTGGACTTTACAGCACCAGTGTCATTGCAATATGTCAAAATATGGTTCAGTGCCACACCACCATCTTGTCAGCTTGTTTTAATCAGGGTGCCGTCCAACGAGTGCAGTTATATTGCCAAATTGTATTTTTAGTTAATTAATGAAGTTGATCTCTGTAATTAGAAATATTAATATTCTGTCAAATAAAGTTTGTGGACTGTTGTATTAGGTAATGAATGTGTCGTGTTATTTCTTTCAATATTTTATCAATATCTTCTTTTTGAATCCAATTAGAGAAGGTTGCATACAATACTAACAAATTGATGACATAGCAAACAAAACTATGCTGTGTGTGGAAGTTACATATTCAGTTATGTATTGGAAGAATTTTGACATTATAGTGGGCTCAAATAGGATACGTTTGAGTAACTTGCAACTTCCATGGGAATGTCAGTATCAATAACTCGCCAACTTCCCCCGAATGGATGAAGCGACCACAAATAAGATTCATATGGATAAATTCTGTCAATGCAGATTTGGTTACGCAATGACAAAAACATATGTATGTTTTTAGCACAAGAATGGCCACAATTCGGTCATTTTGAATCAGATCATGAAATAAAAATATATGTATAGCATGATGTACATGTGAAGTTTGACCAGATTAAACATGTCCGATATATATTAGACCTGCAGAGGTGAATCTGAAAGTCACTGTCTTATGAATTCATCCCAACAGGCAACTAGTTAATATTATTGACCAATATTTTCATTAAAAAAAACTTGAATTGACAAAATGTTTTCAAAGGAAGGGGTTCCCCAAATCCCCCATCGAATTACAAGTAAGACACAGGTAACTGGGCAGGTTCAAGTGGGCCGGCATTCAAGCCCTGGATTCACATGACTAGATGACAATTTTGAAATATTCCAAGTTCCTTTCTATGTAAACAAGTCTTTAATACTGCCTGCTTGGACTTCATACTTGAGATAGTTCTATCCTTTTTTGCTATTTTGCAAATATGCAAAGTTATAACAAAGGAAACCCCTGCTTACCAGATAGAACAAGCATAAGCACTGACGTCAGGTAACCAAGGAAACAAAAATGTTGATGTTGATGGACAAATCAGAACGCCAGAACCATAACTAGTTACCAGCCTCTTGCGGCTTGGTGAGGAGGGAACCAGCCAAAAGAAAATAAAGCTAGATCAATTCAAACACTACCATACACAAAGATAATCATAAACACTTCAAATGAGGAAAATTGCATTGATACAAATAAATTTATTAGTGTTATTTATTTTGGTAACTTTCCATTTGGAAATGTTGTTTGCAGTTTGACTTTCACACACTTCTATGATGGTGATATGGTATTTTCAACTTTCCACAAAGTTGTTAATATTCTAAAATAAATGATAACATTGTTCATTTCATGTTCATTGTCTTTAAAATAATATTATTCTAATTTCTAGAGCTGCCTTTCCTCTTTTTTGACCTGGTGTGTTTTTCTGAAGTTGTTCCACGTTTGGGGTAATTTTTATTTTTCACATTTACAGTGTCATAGTATCGTGATCCAGTTTTCTGTCTCATTCTCTTTTTATGCTCTCGTCTTAATTCCTACAGAAAGAAACACAAAGTGAATACTTGGTTAGTACAAGTTTGAAATAAAGTACAGACACACCTCTGTTGTTTACAAATATCTAATCCATTTTTCAATCAGAGTTCAAAAAACTCTTCCCTTGTTGAATGTTGCCAAAATCAAGATCATGGGCAGAAATAAGCGCTGCCATTTTGTGAGCCACAGAAATGCATGACAAGGAATCTACATGAGGCTCTGAAGGAGTATTTTACAAAGCAAAATGGGATGGGAAATATAGAAGATTCAGAGAAATGATGATAAAGCAGCCTAAAGACAATTCTACAAAATTCTCTAGCAGAACTTTTACAGTACAAAAGTTCCATGGTTTTCCACAGAAATTGTTACTGACACAAATCTTCATCTTTTTTCTACTTGTAACTTTTTGAAATTGAAAATCCCACCTTTTTAGATGGCCTTTCTTCCTCCTCTTCCTCCTGATAACACCGTTTTCTTTTCTTTGATCCTTTCTTAACAGGCATGTGTTTCTGTTTAGGAGATGGCATCATCTCTACCATGGTAACATACTCTGTATCTTTTATCTGTACCCCACCATCATTATCATCATCATCATCATCATCACTTTCCTCAAGTTGTGGATTGTCTTCATCAGCATCATTTAAAAGTTCCTCATTTTCAGATTCATCCTCATAGATAACATCTATTATTTTTCCTGTTTCTATTTTCTCATTATCTTCCTCTGCTAAAAAATACAGAATTATGATGAATATTTATTCATTGAGGTTGCTTATGGGACTCCCTAACTAATTTCTAAAATTCTTCCCAAATCAGAAGCCAAAATCTGGGAGTTCCAGACAACCACAGACTAATAATCAGGGTTATTTTTCAAAAGTTGGGTTAAACACAAATACATTTTTTGGCAACTACAAATTTATGTGGACAACCAGTTTCCAGAGTGGTTGTCTTGTCTTGGTTGACTCCTGCAAATGAAAAACAACTGACAATGGTGATTTCATATTATTATAATTTAGTTGCCTGGGTGGTAATTTTTTGCTGTGGTGGAAAACAATAAAATGTTTTTTTAGACATAAGTTTGTATTATATTTAGGGAATAAAGGACAATGCACTGTCCATCACTGCAAGATAACAAGGCATAGACTGGGTTGTGTGCATAAATAGGGGGGACCATAGTCAAGCAAACATCTCCATCAAAGCCCAGTTATCACGCAATAGTTCTTTATTTCAATTAGGCCAAATCAAGATTGAAATCAAATATACAATATGAAGGTATGAATAACTTGTTATTTTATCAAAACTTTTTAGTTTATGAAAATTAATTTATTATTCTAATGAGAGTATTTTTCAATAATACACCAAGTCTTTCATGTACATGTACATTTGGCCTTGTAATACCATTGACTGTTGAAAAATGTATCTGAGGTGTTAACTTGATCAGAAAACAAAAAACAGTGTTGGTTTGCATGTTGTGGACATTTTGTGAGCAGACAACATATGCACGTAGGTAAATTTTCAGATGAAAATGACCAGGGCTGTATGTGGTACTGATTGTCTAATGAGATTTTGGTGTTTTAATAATGGGCAGCGCACAATATTATAACTTACTTGTATCATACCATGTCAATAACTCACCATTTGAACTCTGAATATTATCAGACTGTTTTTGTTCTGTTATTTCATTCCTGGTCTTCTTGAATTTTTGTTGTTTGATTTTAAATCCTGCAAGTTTCTGCTGATTTGTTTTTTTCCCCCCAAGAAAGGTCAATGCACTTTTCAAAACACCACTGTCTTTGTTTATAACTAGTCCAGATTCCTCTTTTCCATCTTCCTGGTTTCTATGGCGACTAGTATCATCTTCTTTTTCTTCCTCCTCTTCATCATCATCATCACTGATTGCATCATCATCAACAGTAGTTTCCATAGGAACAATATCCTGAATATCCTCTCCAACAAATTCTGGTTCAACGCTGATTTTAGTAAGATCCTGAGAAACAGCAAACTGGACTTCATCTGTTGTTGACTCAATTTCTTTTTCATTGGATGACTCCATCTTTTCATCATTCGCTGTTTTTGCTTCAGCCATCTTCTCTTTCTCTTTCTTTTCATTATGTATCCTCTCTCTTACTTCCTGCAAAAAAACAAAACAAAACAAGCCATGCATGGCACAGTCCCAGTTAGTTATCAAATTCAAG